CCAATTTCCCACCAAGAAAATATGTGGCAGAGGATAGCATAAATCTTAATAATTATTAGTAATATTCGATATTTTGATGTCACCTTTCATCCTGAGATCAGTCCTGTACACATGGGAACAGATAGGCTCCACAGAAACAAAGATAATATTAATCAAGAAATTCCACTACATTTCTATCTTCCTTATTGTAAGTTAGTGGTTATAATTGTAAAGCTGGAACTTTTCTTTTTAGCTTCCTCTATAAGAAGTCTGGAGTCCTGATTTAGCAGCATAAGGTACACACTGGATTGCTAACCACAGGGTTGATGGTTCAAACCCACCAGCTGCTCCTTGGAAACCCTGTACAGGGTTGCTATGAGTCAGAAGTGACTTGGTGTCATTTAACAACAACAACATGGAAGTCTTAGCCAGGAGCAAGGGTCATGTTTTTCACTTGGCAGCTCTAAAGACATCAGCTTTTGACATATCCATTCCCCTACTCATTGGCTGTAGTCCTGGTGTGGCATTATCACATAAGAACTAGACTGCTAACCACAAGGTAAGTGGGTCATCCCACCTACCAGTCACTCCTCACAAATCCTATATAGGGCTTCATGAGTCAGAACCAACTGGATGCACTTAACAACAACAACTCCTTGGTTAATGAGTCCTAGTAGCTCAGTGGTTAAATGCTCAGTTGCTGATGGAAATGGTTAGGGGTTCTAATCCACTAGCCAGCGTTTGTAAAGATTTACAGCCTTGGAAACCTGTCCTCTACAGTCGCTATGAGTCGGGATCTACTTGATGGTATTGGGTACTCCTTGGCTTTTTTTTTTTTTGCCTGCTGATCTAGTTCTGAGTAGAAGACACAGCAATAGTAGATCTGTATCTTCATGGATTCTTCAATTACCTCAAGAGAGTGATAAATCATCGTCATCACCACCACTACAACTATAGCTTACAAAGCATTCACTCATGACTGCACTATTATAAGAGCAATGTATGTACATCATAGATTCACACCAGCTATATGGAGCAGTGTTGTCTAACAGAACTTTTCTGGATGCCGGAAACCCACGCTCTCTGTGCTGTCCAAGATGGCAGCCACTATTGAGCACTTGAAGTGTGACTAGAGTGACTAACAATCTGAATTTCTTTTCTTCTAATTTTAATGAATTTTAATTCAAATAGACACATGTTTTGACAGCACAATTACAAGAGCAAATGGGTTATTTGTTTTAAACCAAGGTCTATTATCACTCATCAGGAAGATCTTAGTGAAGAAGAGTACAATGAAGGATTTTAAAATATTTCTGGAGCTACAGATATTTTAAAAGAAGTTCCATATTTCACACTTGGAGAACTTTTACTTCATCATTTCCCTACTCCTGCTAGAATTTGATTTGGAAAGATGTTGATGGAACATACAAGTTAATGGGGAACTATTTCAAAACAAACACAAGAACAACAAACACCATTCCCCCTCCCTCCCTGTGTCTCACACACACACACACACACACACACACATACACACACATACAGACACACACATACACACATACAGACACACATACACACATACGCACACATACACACACACACACACACATACAGACACACACATACACACATACACACACACATATACACACACACATACAGACACACACATACACACACATACACACATACACACACATACATACACATACACAGACATACACACAGACATACACAGACATACACACACATACACACACACATACACACACACATACACACATACGCACACACACACACACAAAAGATGTGGATGATGTCCTCAAAAGAAACCTAATGGTTGTCCAATCATCCTAAGTGATCAGTAATGATAACCACTTGTCCCTCTATTGAAAATTGGAATTCCATCTAATCATTTTCTGAAAGGACACAGTCACTTACATTTATTGATGAAAAAAGTTTATGTTGTGGGTTTCCACCAGAAACAGTTCTTAGATAAACTCTGAATTCGGGGTCCTGGTAGTGAAGGTGAGTTGGAATTGGAGGGAAACCAAACCTGTCAACTCCCACTTTAAAGGTCACAACCAAGGAAATCCTTTGGGACAGTTTTACTTGGAGCTAGACTCCACTTAAGGGAATACAACAACAAAAACCTACACTCTCACTAAAACCACCTCTCGAGGATTTCTCTAATTTGTGAAAATATGGGAATTCACATCTCTAAGGTGAAGGAGTCCTGGGGTGGCACTGCAGGGTCAACACTGGACTGCTAACCACGAGGTCAGCAGTTCAAACCCACTAGCTGCTCTTTGGAAACCCTTTACAGGGTCACTATGATTTGGAACTGACTCGAAGACACTTAACAACACAATAACAGAAGTGAAGAAAGTGATTTGAAGACTTAATTTACATTCCACTTAGTCCTCTCTGGAACTTAGACTCTGAGAGAAAGAGAAGTTAGTAGCCCTTGGTTTGAACCATCTGTCTTGAAAATGTGACATATGTTTGCTTTGTTTACTCAAAAGCCAGTGTAAACTGATACACTGAACTAGAAATCTGTGTATGGTGACTGTGTGTGTGTGTTTTGGGGAGGGGAAAGAGTTGGTTGAAGGTGGGATTTTCCTCACACCTGATCCTGAGAAACACGTGCATATAAACCTGACATTCCCAGGGTTTGGGATGCGGACAGAGGCTCAGGTACAAGTTGGCGACTATAAACAATACAAAGTACGCACTCCAGCGACCTTTGCAGTTGAGGGGGCACCGGGCTCACATGTGGTTATGCACCCGCCTGCTTCCTCTTCTCCCGGCCCTTAACCTGGGCCTCCAACTTCAACCAAAGTCCGGGCCCTTTTAAATTAATCACCTCGATCAAAATGATCTTTCTCCTCTGTGGTCTATTGTCTAGTGGGATGCATTTGCAGATTTGGCAGCTGGACTCGCCCAGACTTGATTCAAACTCGGCTTCCCTAAGTGGTGAACTTAGACATTAGCAAAGATCTCGAATACAAACCCTGAACAGCTGAAAGGCCGACCCCCTTCCACTGTGAGGTGTCCCCCATCTCCTCTCCCTGGACCCAAGGTATTCTTCAGCATCCCGGGCGCCCCCAGGCGGGAGACCAGGGGAGGTGTGTCTCAGCGGGGGAAGGGGTTCAACAGCTCCACAGAAAACTAGAGGTGCAGAGCTTGAGTGAAGGGCTGTGTGTGTTTAAATTTACTTTGGAAACAATCGAAATGGAGGTCAGCTGATAGATTTCCTAAAGCCAGGTCGGGCTGGGTTGGGTTTAAAGGTAGTGGATTGGGGTGGGGGGGTATCCACTTTTGTCTCACCCAAGCTGGAGGAAAGCATAGAGACTGTGTTGTCAGTGTGTGCGCTGGTGTGGGCGGGATCTAGCGATCGCTGCTCCACAGACCCGGGTCTGCGTGCGTGTTTAAAGCGCGAGTGATGTGGGGGGAGGAAACTTTGTGCTCGGAAGAAGGTTCTGACTCCACTGTTCTAGGACGAAATAGACCGTGTGCATTGTGTCCTTTTGTGTTTCTGAGTGTCTGTCAGAGGGAGAGAGAGACACTAGCAGCGCCCGTGGTAGGCTGCATAGCACGGCGTGTCCAACCAGGGTCCCCCCGCGGGCCAGTGTATGCATCTGCGGCGTCTGTCAGTCCCTGTGGCCGAGCATCGGAGGGGCTGGCGGCGGGTTGTTGGATAGCGGGAGCAGGAGGCGACTAGGGGCCTCCGAAAACTCTATTCTCCGCTCCGCTTCCAACAACCGCTAACACCCTAAGGGTCTTCCGAGCTGGGCGTTCTCCTCGGAAACCGTCCTGGCCCAACTCGGCTCTCTGCGCTCCCGAAGACAACCACATCTTTCTTCCCAGCTCCAAGAAAGTGAGCCGGTAAAGAGAAGGAGAGGTGGGAACACCTCCTCCAGAATAAATAAATAAACAAACTCTTATAAAAGGGCACCTTGCCGCAGCTGGACCCGATCCGTTGAGTCCAGGCTGGTGGCATTTGAAGAGGTTTCTCATTTTGTCTGCTCGGGAACCCATCGCAGCCTCCCCGCACCCCGCCATCTCTTCCTTCTAGCAGTCGTCCCCCAACTTTCGAGGCCAAAGCGAGCTGAGGGTACGGGCTCTCGGCGGGCGGCGCGGGGCTGCACCTGTCCCGGAGGACACGCGGGGGGCTACGGGACGGCACACTAGCCGGGGTGGTGGCGCGGATGCGCCCGAGTCCCCGGCTCCCGACGCGAGTGTGCGCGGCGCTGACTCCTGGGAGTGAGCCGAGGACTTGCTGCGGGTAGGGGCGAACAAACCGGGTGCTGGCCCTACCCAGGACATCGCCTCCTCCTCGCCCGGCCGCCTCTGAAAGGAGGCGCGCCGAGGAGGGGGCATGGCGACGGGGGCAGTGATTGGTGGTTTGTCTGGGGAGGGCCAGCGGCAGAGCGAGCGAGTGAACGAGCGGGCGAGGAGGGGGCGGCCAACTTCCCGGGAGAGGGGCTCTTTCCGCGCCCGGCTGGCTAGGGATCCGCCGCCGCCGCCGCCTAAAGGCTCGGACTGCCGGCAGCTGCGGGCACCGCTCGCGGCGCCCTGAAAGTAATGCTCTTTCTTTCTTTGCTGGGGTCGGAGCAGGGCAGACAAACCCTGGACTTTGGGACCCCGCGTTGAACCGCTCTAGCTTATGCCCAGCGGGTGCCCGCGGCTCCCTAGTGCCCCAGCTCACTTGGGGGGGTGGGTCTTCTACACCTCCCCCCCCTTATTCCCCCCTCCCCAGCGCAGCAAAGTTCCCCCGGCGGGAGCGCGAGCACGAGCGAGAGGGGAGGGCAGGGGGCGGAGAGGCTCGGGCGCTCAGGACTCTCATTTCAAAGCGCGCTCTCTGTTCCAGGTTGGGTCAGACCTGATCCCCAAGAAGCCGCGCCGCCTCCCGCCCTCCCGCCCGCTGCACGCTGAAGCTGAGTCGCCAGAGGTGGTGGTAGCGGCGGACCCCGGAGTTTGCTCTCCCGCTGGATGGAGCTGAACTTTGGGCGGCCGGTGCAGCGCGCCCGTCAGAGCATCGCTGCCTGCTGAGCTCCCCAGCGAGACCTCGCGGCGGCTCGTGATTTTGGGGGGCGGGGGACCAGCTGCGCGCCGGCACCATGTTCCTGGCGACCCTGTACTTCGCGCTGCCGCTGCTGGGTAAGTCGAGGCCGCCTCTGGCTTTCATGCCCGCTGAGCCTTTCCAAAAGGCAAGTTGCACTGGGGGGTGGGGGTGGGGGGATGGAGGTTGGGAAGGGTCATGACTCCTCGTAGCTCAGTGCCCTGGGCTCGGGAGGTGGTGGCGGCGCGGCCCTTGTCCGCAGCTTTGCGTGCTTGGGTTTTGATTCTCTGTGGTATCTGCTGCCCGCGTCTGGCGGGGACTTACGGGTTCCGCGGCCTCCAGCCCCGGCGCCCCGAGCTTGTCCCGGGGAGATCGGAGGCGAGTGGGGGCAGGTGGGATGAGGGCGTGCGTGGGGCCGTGAGAGCAAACTTCGAAGGGAAAACTTTTCCCGTAATAGCGCCTCAATGTGCCCCTCGGGGCCGGCCGCCAGCCGAGGCTCACCCGCTGCCAGACCGCTGCGGCTCTCCTCCGAAGCGCTGGGCTTCGGCTAGCAGGCGGAACGTGAGGCGGGAGCCGGGTGGCGGAAGGAGTCTGGCGCGTGCTTGGGTTCAGCGACGGCTCCCCGCCCACCGGAGACCCTTCTGGGGAGCCGCCGTCGCCCTCCTCTCGGACCCGGGGTGGGGTAGGCAAACGGACTCCGGGCGGCTGGGCCCGCTTCTCGCACAACACCTTCCCCACCCCCATCCCAGGCAGGTGCCAGGGGGTCCCCAGGACTGGGCTGTGGAGTCTTTGCCCTTCTGTTTTCACAACCCCTGTCCTTGGCCCCCCGCAGACGTGCTCCTGTCGGCCGAGGTGAGCGGCGGGGACCGCCTGGACTGTGTGAAAGCCAGCGATCAGTGCCTGAAAGAACAGAGCTGTAGCACCAAGTACCGCACGCTGAGACAGTGCGTGGCGGGCAAGGAGACCAACTTCAGCCTGGCGTCCGGCCTCGAGGCCAAGGACGAGTGTCGCAGCGCCATGGAGGCCCTCAAGCAGAAATCGCTGTATAACTGCCGCTGTAAGCGGGGCATGAAGAAGGAAAAGAACTGCCTTCGCATCTACTGGAGCATGTACCAGAGCCTGCAGGGTACGCGCCAGCCGCCCGGCCCCCTCCCCCTACAGCCCGCGACCTCTCTGCGAAGGCAGGCGGCGGCTGGGCCCCGGGGCCCGCTGACCTCACCCTCCACTCACATCTCCCCATTTGCAGAAAGAGGACCTTTCATAGGTCCCCAGGGACAGCGGCAGCTGGTGTTTGCAGCAGCTCGAGCAGCATTGGTATGGCCGGGTTGTTGGAAAATCCATGAGGACCTGGGTGCACCCAGGGGACCCTGCTGATCTCTCTCAGACCTGGTCTAAGCACTGGAGTAGGATCTCATTATTTAAGGGCCAAAGAACCTGAAACTTCCCTCCAAAGAGCTCTGGCCTGAGGCTTTAGCTAGCTTCTGAGAATAATAATGCAAAGGCTTGGCCTGCCTGGTGTCTCCTTCCCTGTCAACCCATTCTGGGGAAAGTTAAGGAATTAAGTGTAAAAGGTCTAGTAGAATCCTTTCTTTCTTCACCTTTCTACAACCTGATGAAAGGCAGATGTGTGAGAAAACATTTTTCATCTTAGATTAGCCAAGTCTTAAACCCTCTGGTTTGGCCCAACCTTAGCTAACACAGTAGTTGTCACAAGCATCCATTCCAATGGAAATTCTCTGGTCCTCGCCTGCCTCATGGCTTGTGTTTATAAATTTAGCACACACATCCAATGCATTCATTCTCCTCTGAGACTCACACCTCAGATTTGTAATATACAGATTTGACTTTGGAATTACCACTTGCTCTATCACCTATGAATGAACAGATCTGGAGCACCTGCTTTGGGGGCCACGTTTGGGAGTAAACAGGGTCACCTTTCTTCCATTGGCTCCAGGAAGCCGGTAGGGCTTGTGACGTCACTGGCTTCTTCCTCTGTCATTTCATTCCTTTGCAAAGAGTGAGAGCCTTTCCTGGCAAGACCAGGCTGAGTTGCTCTCCAGTGTTTTCACAGAGCAAGGACAACAAAAAGGGAACAAACCGAAATAACCAACGCCAAATAGGTAGATGCATTTGAAATCTTTGAAAGTTTCAGCATCTTTGTGTTACACAATCACAACCGCATTAGAATTCAGATTCAGTAGTGAAAAACGACCTGAAGTTTATCTGTGTTCCAAATTGAATCTCAATCTTTTTGTTGTTTTTAGGAAATGACCTGCTTGAAGATTCCCCGTATGAACCTGTTAACAGCAGGTTGTCTGATATATTCCGGGTGGTCCCATTCATACCAGGTAAGCAGCTAGATACTTTCGCTCTGATGCCTTTGCCTGCTTGAAATTCTCTGGCTTGCATTCTCTTTGGCTCTCAAATAGTGTATAAGTAGTTGAATGGCGCAGTGTTTCTGGGAAATTAGAAATAGGATGATGATAATGAAGAGGCAGAATGCCTGGAGATGATTGTATGACTTGAAAGTAATTCTAAATGAAGTAATGTGATGTAGTGCTTTGGAGCAATTGGAGGGAGACGGTTCAATTTTTTTTTCCCCTTCACATTAAAATATGATTGGTCAACTCTTATAAAGGAAGTGCCATTTCTGTCTGTAGGTGGCAATCGTATTCCCTTCTTGCTACATGCCTTACACAGTGCCTCCCAGGAAATGGGATCTGACCAAGTGATTTCACTTGCTTGAGCAGATGTCTGAAGATACTCTTAGATCACTAAAGAAATTTTGGATGGACTCAGTTATCTGTCTTTGATTTAAAAGCTTAGGCTCTACCATTTGTTAGAAATTCTTCTGTTTCTGATTTTTCATGAGCGTGTTTATAAGAGATTGTACTCCTGCCTCACCAGCGCTTTCTAAAGGAGCTCTGCATCCCACGGATTGTTTTGTCTCTCTTTTGTAGTTCAATATTTGGCTTGGAAGTGTGCTTAGTTTTAGAATTAAGTTTTCATAACATTTGCATTCAGACAGCTCTATAAATAATGAGCAGTAGCTTCTCTTAATGATGGGCAGATTCCACACTGATGTTGTCTTTATTTGTTTACAGTTAAGACATTTTCCCAAGTAGATATAGCCAACCCAAATTAGATATATCTAGGTGGTCAGACCTGGTGGTGGATGTTGAAGTTGAGTCTATGGAATGATGACATGCTGCTGGTGAGAATGTTCTAGAGTTTTAAAGGACTTATGCTTTATTGCAGAAAAACCACAGAACCAAAGGAGGAACATATAAATGCTGATGTTATATGTAGGTGTATTATATATTCATGTATTCACCCACTAAGCATCCATTGAGCAACTACTATGCTCTAGGCATTGTGGGATTTGGCAGTAAGTCAGAGAGCTATGTCCTTGTCCTCATGAATCTTAGAGGCAGCCAGCAGCTGACATTTATTAAACCCTTATATGCCAAGCTTTCCATCATTCACTTATTTAATCATCGTCAAGTGTTTGTTAACTATTATTATTTCCATTTTATAGATGTGAAGATTGAGTCATAGTGAAGTTAGGGACCAATCCAAGATCACAAAGATTCTTTGTGATTTACACCCTGAATTGTTTGATTCTAAGCCTGCATTCATAACTTCGATTCCTTGCTACTTTCTACCCAGAATGGGGTCCTCAGAACCGCAGCAGCAGCAGCATCTAGGAGCTAGTTAGAGGTGCAGAGTCGCAGATGCCACCCCAGACCTACTGAATCAATATCTGCATTTTAACAAGATCCCTGAGGCTTCTGTCTTTCGATTCAGTGGAAAAGTGTGTGTGTCTGTATGTGTATGGTTTAGGATGGAATACAAAGATACAGATCTGGTATCAGAAACATTCATATATTATCTTGAATAATGCTGATGATTTCTACTCTAAATCCCTTTTGATATCATTTGTTCCCTTGACCCAGCCAGGACAGTGCCCCAACCTATGGATGGGAGACACAGAGTTGGGTGTGCTTCATCCTGGAAGCAGGTCTGTTGGAACTAGGATGAGGTGATGAGGTGTGGCAGGTAGAGTACCGGTGGTGAAGCTGGCCTTTCTGGTGTGGGCGAATGCTTCTTTCCTGCTGCCTGCCCCATCGAAGAAGCAAGCAGAAGTCCTCAGTCTTTATCTTGATGCCTGCAAGACTATGAGCATCCTTATGTGAGGAAGTGGGTAAGGAAGAAGGTGACATTTGAATTTTAATGTCCGATCTGACCTGAGCTATGGAACTTTGAGTGGCTGACTTTCCCTCTCTGGGTGATTTAGTCTTTTCTCATCAGTATAGGGAGAAAATCTCGGGTCCTAACAGTCCATGATTCTGAGCGGAGGATCCAGGTCACCTCCAGACTCCCTCCACTGTACTCTTGCATTGCTCTTTCCATCCTTGCACTTGCTTCTGTACTCCAAGTGACTCCCTTGTTCTCAGATACCATTGGTTCATCTGACCTTCTTTTACGAGGATCTGAAATTCTTCCATATGGACCAAGTCATTTGTTTTTTGGATCCACCGCTCAGCCCGAGATTGTTCCATAACATATATGATCTTGAATTTGTGAGACCACAGCCTGCTGAGAGTCCAGAAGTCATAATGAAATTAACTAGAGGCAGGCAGGCCTTGTCTAGAGCTACATTTCATATCTCAAGGGCATTGAATTTAGGTTCCAGCACTAATGAGCTTTGACCTCTTGACAGTGACTATGTTTCTTAAGTGGGTGTAGTAAAGCCAAATGCAGTCCTGAGAGGTTTTAAGTTCCTGAATAATGCATATTACCCAGTTTGGTATTTTTAGGCTGGGGTAGGACAAATGAACAGGATGATAAAAATTGCTTTTCATGGGTTGAATCTGAGTTTCCAGAACATCTCTTTTCATCTTGCAGATCTCCCTTAAGAAACCAGGACAATAGGGCCTGTGCCTTTTACAGATATGGTAGTAATCAGTGTTTCCGTTTTTGGATTTCCCTGCCCAATGTGAAGAGAGTGTTTATCCACATACATTAAGCATAGGCTGAATCCCTTCACTGAGCAAGACGTGTTTGACATTCTCGTGTTTCCATCTTCTTTGGACTCCTCCAGCCTCCAGCCATCTTCATTGTTGTTTACTCATAAACAGCTAAAAGGCCATGAAGTGGGATCACCCCCGGTGGTCTGGAGGGAACACAGAAGGTGGTAAAAATAAGGCAGAATCGAATAATTGTCATCTGTGATCTGAAGCCTGAGCCGCAGAAGAGACATCGAGCAGCCCTCCCCAGACAAGAATTGCAGTGGGAGGTGGGAAAGATGACTCTTGGGGAAACTTGATAGTGAAAGCATTTGGCCTCCAAGGCACTTTTAAGGGCTTGAGGAGGTGTGTTTACTGTGAGTTGATGCCAGTGTGGTTTTTAAGGGTCTTGAAAGGGAAGAGTCAGAAAGTGAGCAAAGAAGAAAGCTAGCCAGAAGTAGAAGATATTGGAATCAAAGAAACAACACAGAAAAGTGTCTTGGGAACCAAGAGGGCAGACTGGTGTGGGAGCTTGGAGGCCCAGGAAACAGATCCCATGATGCAGTGTTTAACATCTGTTTCCCTCCCAGCTGCTCTTTAACCTTCATTCTGCTTTCCCTTTTGTTCATTACAAGAAGTTCAAGGGGCAGGAAGAAGTCAGCATTGATTTAATAGGAAGATGAACCTGTTGGCAATTTTTTTGCAATCTCTGGGAGAACAAAGCTGAGAGAAGTTTTTGAAAGTCTAGTGGGTGCCAAGAGACGTCTTAAGGGTGTAGGATCAGAAGGAGGAGATAAGCGCCTCTGTGGCAGCCAGAGTAAAAGAGGGCTGCGAGGTTTCACAATATTGATTGGGAGGTGGGATTTTGTAGAGAAGAGTCAAGAGATGCCAGGCCTTCCTCAGCTGTAATCAAATTGGATGGAACTGAAAACAAGGATCCAGTGGGTGGATTGTGAGGAAAGAGTGATGTTAGGATTTGTGCAGTCTAAATCTGATTGGGAGAAAGTCAACATTTCAGCTCTCTGGCTCTGACAATTATTTCCCTGCCAAATACCATTGTTCGTGTTGGGTGCTGTTCAGTTGATTCCAACACATATCAACCCCACGTGACAGAGAACTGCTCCATAGGGTTTTCTTGGCTGGGATCTTTATGGAAGCAGGTTGTTGTTGTTAAGTGCTGTCGAGTTGATTCCGACCCATAGCGATCCTGTATAGGTTTCCAAGTAGCGGCTGATGAGCTTGAACCGCCCACTTTGTAGTTCAAGCGACTTTGCAGTCCAGTGCATTAACCCACAGCGCCACACCAGAGCTTCAATGGAAGCAGGTAGCCAGGTCTTACTCCCACAGAGCTGCTGGATGGCTTCTACTGTTCTAGGAAGTTGTGGGACCTGAAAGTGGGAATGATTTACTCCAGAATGCGATGCCTTATACTCTCTTCTGTGGCCAGCCTCTTTTTCCGAATGATGCTATGAATAATTGGCCATGTTTAATATTTCTGTTTTAATGTAACACCATACTTATGAAACTATGTTTTTTTTTTTTTAACTTCTTAAAAAGTTTTTCATGTTGGAGCAACATCTTACCATATCATCTGCTATCTTCTTTAATCACAATGAAAGAAAGAGTACCAGGCAGGTCCTAGGGGTGTGTCTCCATCTGTTCCTTCTCATTCATCTCTCTAAGGCAGGAACTTAATTGTGCCACTCCTATATGTGAGAACCTCAGTTAGTTCCCTGTTATGTGTTTTGCTGTGTAGTAAAACCTAGAAGGTCAGTGGAACCCCTTTCTAGCATGACCCTGTCCTCTTCCACTTGTCCTTTTCACTCTGTTCTCTCCTCAGACTCACTGAACTCAGCCATTCCCCATGTATTTCATGTGCTTCTACATTTCTGTGCCTTTGCATATGGTCTTGCATCCACTTGGGAAGTATCAGTTCTCCAAGACTGAGATCACGTTTCTACTCTGAGGGCCTTGTTGAAACTCAGGGCTTCCTCACTTTACATTTTGCCCTTGCCTTGATGAGAGCCGTAAATCACAGCGTATCGGGAGAACTTATTTATGTGTCTTCCTTTCCCATTGGAACAGCGGTGACTTGCATGCTAGGCTACTGAGTGTCTGGTTAGCACCAATCATCCTTCCTGGTTTGGAGATGATATCCTATCACTGATGCTTGGGAATATCGGAGTAGAAGGATCTAGTCCAGCACTTCAGAAGAGACGTGCTTTGGCCAGGACCACACAGCTTGAAGGCAACCTTCAAATGCTTTTCCAGGACAAAGCCCTCCCTTAAGGGGGCCAGTGTTGTTTTCTTTCTGAGTTTGTAAGCTCTCCAGGCAAGCC